GATACCTTCGATTAAAGTTTTAAAAAAAGTGATCTACATTGGTGTGAAAATAAAATAGGTTAGTCATGGCAAAAAAATGTCCAGAACACGTCATCGACGATCTCTTCCGGCCTCTTTGACGTAGCCCGATAAATCATATGTTACACGAAAATTAAATCAATATTTAATATTGATTTAATTTTCGTATAACATATGATTTATCGGGCTATGTCAAAGAGGCCGGAAGAGATCGTCGATGACGTGTTCTGGACATTTTTTTGCCATGACTAACCTATCTGTGAAAATATCAGTCGCCTAAATTATATATATATTATCTTATAGCATATATTTTAAGCATTTATAATTAATTTTTTTATTTTAAAAAATGCTTTCAATAAATAGACTATTTTTATAAATATACATTAAGTTAAAAACTTCAAGTTAAAAAAATTTAAAAGATTTAAGACTATGTACCTAGAATAATACACATAACTACACTAAAAACTAAAAAATAAATTAAATAAAAAAATTTAAAACCATAAAAAAATTGAAACCGCGCCCCCTGGTATCGCCCGGGTCTAAGAGCTAGTCATCTACTACGATTCCTCTCTCATAATAATTACGAACTTTAAATGTTCCTTCGGCAAGATCCATATCTGCAGCTTTTTTAAAATATTCAAAGGCCATGCGTTCATCCATTTCAACTACGATTCCACTCTCATAATAATTACCAGCTTTAAATGTTCCTTTGGCATGATCCATATCTGCAGCTTTTTTAAAATACTCAAAGGCCATGCGTTCATCCTTTTCAACTATGATTCCACTCTCATAATAATTACCAGCTTTAAATATTCCTTCGGTATGATCCATATCTGCAGCTTTCCGATAAAGTTCAAAAGCCTTTTGTTCGTCTTTTTTGACTCCATTTCCTCTTTCATACCAATATGCTGCTTTATAATAATATTCACCTGCTTTGTTATTATCTTCTTTTCTGTACTTTCTACCATTATTAACCTCACCCCTTCTCTCATACCAATATGCTGCTTTGCAATAATATTCCCCAGCTTTGCTTTTATCGTTTTCTACTACGATTCCTCTCTCATAATAATTACAAATCTTAAATGTTCCTTCGGCATGACCCATATCTGCAGCTTTTTTAAAATACTCAAAGGCCATGCATTTATCCTTTTCAACTACGATTCCACTCTCATAATAATTACCAGCTTTAAATGTTCCTTCGGCATGATCCATATTAGCAGCTTTCCTGTAAAATTCAAAAGACCTTTGCTCGTCTTTTTTGACTCCATTTCCTCTTTCATACCAACATGCTGCTTTATAATAATATTCCCCAGCTTTGTTTCTATCTTTTTATACTACAATTCCTCTCTCATAATAATTACTAGCTTTAAATGTTCCTTCGGCATGATCCATATCTGCAGCTTTTTTAAAATACTCAAAGGCCATGCGTTCATCCTTTTCAACTACGATTCCACTCTCATAATAATTACAGCTTTAAATGTTCCTTTAACATAGTTCATATTAGCAGCTTTCCTGTAAAGTTCAAAAGCCCTTTGCTCATCTTTTTTGACTCCATTTCCCTTTTTATACCAATATGCTGCTTTATAATAATATTCGTCCGCTTTATTTTTATCTTTTTTAACCATAATACCACTCTCATAATAACTACCAACTTTAAATGTTCCTTCAGCATGGTTCAAATTAGCAGCTTTCCTGTAAAGTTCATGGGCTTTTTGCTCATCATTCGTAACTCCATTTCCTCTCTCATACCAATATGCTGCTTTATAATAATATTCGCCTGCTTTGTTATTATCTTCTTTTCTGTTCTTTCTAACATTATTAACTTTACCTCTTCTCTCATACCAGTATGCCGCTTTGCAATAATATTCCCTAGCTTTGTTTTTATCTTTTTCTACTTCGATTCCTCTCTCATAATAATTACAAATTTTAAATGTTCCTTCGGCATGATCCATATTTGCTGCTTTTTTAAAATACTCAAAGGCCATGCGTTCATCCTTTTCAACTATGATTCCACTCTCATAATAATTACCAACTTTAAATGTTCCTTCAACATAGTCCAAATCAGCAGCTTTCCTGTAAAGTTCAAAGGCTTTTTGCTCATCCTTCATAACTCCATTTCCTCTCTCATACCAATATGCTGCTTTATAATAATATTCACCCACTTTGTTTTTATCTTTTTTAACTACGTTTCCTTTTTTTTTCTTTTTAAAATTATTTCCTCTCTCATACCAATATGCCACTTTGCAATAATATTTCCCAACTTTGTTTTTATCTTTTTCTACTGCGATTCCTCTCTCATAATAATTACAAACTTTAAATGTTCCTTTAGAATGATCCATATCTGCAGCTTTCTTGTAAAGTTCAAAAGCCTTTTGCTCATCTTTTTGGACTCTATATCCTCTTTCATACAAGTATGCTGCTTTATAATAATATTCGCCTGCTTTATTTTTATCTTTTTCAACTATGATTCCACTCTCATAATAATTAACAACTTTAAATGTTCCTTCAGCGTGGTCCAAATCAGCAGCTTTCCTGTAAAGTTCAAAGGCTTTTTGCTCATCCTTCGCAACTCCATTTCCTCTCTCATACCAATATGCAGCTTTATCTCTTAAACCGTTTGAAATTCAGGGCAGATCTGCCCTGAAATTTTCTGATAATCACGTGTACTACAAATATACAAAAAATAATAACATAAATGATATAATATGTCATAAATAAGTATGAAAATGGTATTTATTTAATTTATTTATGTTCATGGTACTTAATAAAGCAATCTGGGCGTTGCTTATTAATACATAAAGGAACGTTACACACTGTACACCACATATAACTTTGTGGTGAATTCTTGTCGTGTCTTCCATGCTCAGACATGTATTGAAACCGGCACCAAATACATGAACCTCTCTCTTCACGCCATTCTGGATAATGGCTTTGTGGCTGTAATCGTGCAATTGGTAAGTCAAATTTTTTTGTAACATAAACAGACTTTTTTTCCGAATTTTGATTATGTAATTCTGATTGAATTTTTGCTTTATTTTTTCGCATATGTAATTTTTCGTTCATTTCCAACGATTCTTCGACTAAACTCCATGCTAAATTTATTCTTAAATCTTTGTATATTGTGCCCAAGTTAAGAGCTTTTGAAACAAGGAAGGTATTAACAATACTAGTATCGAGAAGCCAAAAAAATAATGGCATCCAAGTGCGACGTACAGGTACTTGAGTACCATAATAGCCCCTTAATTGGTCAGCTATATCCACACCACCCATATGATGGTTATAATCATCAATTACAACCGGTATGGGAAGAATTTTTTTACTTGCATAACCAAACATGCTTCGTACTTTGTTAGCATTAGTACTAGTTGTTCGTGGTCATCGCCTTTCTCTTTCTATTCGACATTCTTCACCTAAAATTTCATGTATGGTTGTTAACATATTCACAGGACCATTATTCATCCAGAACACAACTAATACATCATCTACAACGGTATCAGAAAGAGTATCCCATTCTATTTTTTCGATTTTTTAATTTTTAAAAAAGCAGGAAATTTCAAGGTATTACTCCGTACTGTTCCACAACCGCCATACCCATTTTTTCGCATATAACTAAACAGATTGATACTTGTAAAAAAATTATCCATGTAGATATCGAACGCCTTGCCTTTCGGAAATTGAGATATTAGATGATACACCTGCGAACCGACCTTATTAACATTCGGAATTGGATTAATTTCTAAATTAGGTTCAATATGGGAGGTAAAAATAAAGCAGTATGTATATCCCGAATCACATAATGAAAGTATTTTAAATCCTTCTGGCGTGGGCTTATTTTTAATTCGTACTGTATGACTGCTTCTTCCTTTAAATCTAGCAATCATTTCGTCAACTGAAACCTGTGATTTTGGTAAGTAAATCGACT